CTGACCTTGACATATTTGCATTCTTTGTTATTCAATACAAAAAAAGACGGAATAATTTTCTCTTTAATATTTGCCCGATTTATTTGCAAGGAATTCAATTCAGTGGAAAAAGAGCTTACTTCTTCATTATTGTGTATACTAATTTCACAAACTTAAGGTTAAGCTTCATAACTAATGTAATAATGTAATTGATAAATAATAAATGATTATAAAATGTTCAATAAAACATAAACAAATTATATAAACAAAATATCATTTTTCATACCATTTATAAATTACGTGGGATTTCAAAATATTTGGATTTATTATTAAAGAATTTTTCTTTGATTTAAAAATATATAACTTTTCAAAATTAATTCCATTATTAAATTTTTCTAAAATAATACAAGTTAATAATAATGTAAATAATAATCGCATATCATATTAAACTTCTGCAATATTTTATCAAAGAAATACAACGATATATTAATAAGATAAATTGAACATTAATGGGTTAAAAATTAACATACTTAATGAAATAAATAAAATTTGACAGCATTATATATCTATATTATGTGTACATATATATGCGCGCGCGTATAGAAAGTTATTTATGATAAAATATATTGTAATTACAATTAATTATATTTGCGTATTATTAATGCAAATCGTTGACAGAAAGTCCAAAATTTCATCATCTTTTAAAATCTATAAATTTATATCTTTCAATGTTTATCGCTTTTTGTATCAATCAAATTTCAATAAAATTTTTAACATATATATATATATATATATAACTGACATAAATCTATATTTAACTTTTTATTACAGATAAAAGCGATAAAAAAGTGATAAAAAACCGATCTTTACTATTTTCTTTGCAATTTAAATCAAATGAATTTTTTTACAATAATAAACATCTAATAAGATAATCTAACTTCTCAAGAAAATTCAAGTGATTTAATTTAATTTTGAAATAATAATTATAATTAATAATATATTTAAAGAATGATCAAATATTTTTTTCAGGAATATATTTAGAAATAAAAAATCAAATCACAGAAAAAAGGAAAAAGAAAAATAGATAAAATTAGATTATAATTAATATATAATAATATTTAAGTAATAGACATGTATATATTTATTTATTAAAATGTATATCCTTATTTTTATAACTTCTAAGATATTTTTACAATGTAACAATTTTTTATGTGAATATTATACATTTTACAGTAATCATATTTTTTATACAAAAATATTTATTTAATTTCTGCAACTTATTGGAGGCATTTGTATTAAATCACAGTTTTTAAATGATTATGCTAATGAGATGATTCATAATCGGAAAAATGCTTTATAGGCACGACCATTTGGAATTTGTCCTTGAAGTCTTAATCTTCTAACTGCTTCTCTTAAATGTTTTGGTTGTAATGGTCCTGATTCTTGATGAGCTTCCATGACATCAAGAGCTAGTTTAAAAATTATATTTAAATAAAAAGAAAAAATTGTTTTTTCTCATTAAAACTTATTTTTCATCATTAGAAATATTAATATTACCTTCTTCTACTATTTCTCCAACAAATACTTTTGCAATACCGGACATAGCAATAACTACATTCTGCGATACTGAACAACCTGTTATAGTTTGCATAATCTGGAATACAAAATACAATTTATGATAGATATTAAGATATTAAAAAATACGAAATACATTAATATGAAAAAATAAACACAATTACTCTTTTTATTGCTGCTTTTGGAAAAGCAGCTCTTCTATACATTTCATATCTATCTAATTGGTCTTCTGTAAAATTTGATACTAATACTCTGTTAACAAACAAATATTATTGTATTTATAATTAAATAGTAAATATAATTATAATAATAACAATGTTAAAAAATACGTACTGCATTTTCTCCCTTTCTTCCTCTTCCAATTCTTTTTTACTTTTCTCTTTACTTTCTCTTCTTTCTTTAACATTTGTTGGATTTGCATGAGGTAGTACTATATCATTTTCAAATATGTCTTCCGTTGTTTGTTCTTCTTCCCTATTATCATTTTCATGTTTGACAATTTCCAATTGATCTTCTACTACTGTACATAACAAATTAGAACCTACTTCTTCTCCATCAGATTGAGATTGCGAACTCATTGCATCATATTCTATCTAATAAAAAAATAAATATATAATTACAATAATAAAACTATATAAATTTAATTTTTATTTAAAAATTAATTTATTATTTTTATTTCAATTTTACACTCATGATATAATTATCCTATTTATATACCTTAACTTGTACATTATCATTATCATTAACATCTATTGATTCTACATCTTTAGTTCCAGAATTTTGTGAAGGACTACCTTTTTCTTCCTTTCCTTCAATATCTATATGTTCACTTTCATTCCCAGAATCTTCTTTTCCAAAAATATTATCCATTATATAATAAAATACACTATAAATTATAAATAATATAGAAAATGTATTTGATATTTAAAATGAATTATTTTAGGTTACAATACATATCATAATAAATATTGATGAAAAATTTACATGAATTTTATGAATATTTAATTAAAAAATATAATTGAATAAATAAATTAAAATAAATTTTCTAAATATATAAATATAATTATCTTAATTTATTTAATATTTTAATGTAAATTATAAGAAGATAGCCTTA